TATTATTATTATTATTATTATTATTATTATTATTATTATTATTATTAACCTTGTGTTTGCAAGGTGTCCCTGAGAGCAGCCCTGCCCTCCCCTCTGTGTGTTGTCACAGAGGGTGTTATCAGCGAGGTGGCTGAACTTTAGTGACAAGTGACACAACAAATATGCAGCCACTGCAGGTCTCCCGGGCCCTCTGGTCTGAAAAACACCCTGCAAACAAAAGAGAAAGAAAATAATGACCTTTTTTGCCCAGTTGGGTGATGATTTTCCTCATGGAGATCACGGAAAGCCTCTCATCTCTCACACCCAGAGCGCTGGTATTAATAAACCTCCCTTTGATATTTCTTTTTTTTTTTCTTTCCTTGAAGTAAATATGTCAGGAGATGTCAGGATTGGGGAATTTTGGTGAGGCAGACCCGTCATCTTGAGGGAGAGAATTTGTTTTCTATTATTATTTCCCTCCCTGGGGAGCAACATCTTTGCGTCACCGGGAACAGCTGCATTTAACCAACGTTTGGAAAGCAGATCATGGGCTGGCTCCAAGCACAGCAGCACCAGAGCAGATGCAACCAGGGGAAATGTGCACTTAGAGGGAATCAGGGGGAAAAAAATCTGTCTGTGACTATAAATATATAGATTTGCTGCTCTCCCTAGAAATAGGGCTGTAACTATAGATAGAGGTACGGATACACCCCTGAATAAACACCCCCAGATGTTTGTTTGGGTGGGGAGTTTTCTCCTTTTAGCCACTGTGGGAGGACTGGCAGACTGAGCAGAGCAGCAAACAGAGGGACCCAGAGCAGGTTTGTGTCCTGCAGGGGATGGTTCCAGCAGAGGAACCACCCTCTGGAATGTTAAAGCCATCAGAGCCCAAGGATTGACAGCCCAGGGAACAATTGCTCCTGGGCTGTGTCCCGAGGGAAAACCAGCTCTGCTGGAGGACTCTGGGTTGACAGCCCTGGAGATTGGTGTCCCCTCTTAGCCTGGAGTGAGCCAGGGAAGTGTCTCCTCAAATCCCTTCCAGACAGGATCAAATGTGGAGGGATCAACAGGCTGGAGGTGTCCAACAACAGGCTGGAGGTGTCCAACACCAGGTTGGACGGGGCGTGGAGCAACCTGGGACAGTGGAAGGTGTCCCTGCCCGTGGCAGGGGGTGGGACAGGATGATCTTTGAGGTCCCTCCCAACCCAAACCATCCTGGGATTCTGTGACCTCCTGGACACAGCCTGAGCCAGCTGTTTAGCAAAGGACAGGATGAAGTTCTGTGGAAAGGTGTCTCAGCAGCTCCTCGTGGGAAGACAAGACAGTTTCCTTCGTGCCTTTGAGCACAAAGCCACCTCTGCACCACCCCCTGTGTGTTCCCTCACATTCTGCTTTTAAAATAACCCTCCCCCAGCGCAGCAGAGGTGGTGGGAAACCTCCTTCTCCCCCTGCTTCCCCAGGAGAGGTGCCTGGGCAGTCAGTCCCTGCCCCAGCTGCACCCTGGACCTTCAGGAGGTGCCTCTGAACTGATAAGCTGAGGGATCTGTGGCTTCCCAGCCCAGCCCCTGAGCTGGGAGCTCTGTTTGGCTTGTTTTCCATCTGGTGTTTGAGGAGGAGCAGGAGGAGCAGGGAAGGAAGGGGATGGGTTGCCTGGGGTTCCCTCTCGGAGGCACTGGGGTTAAACTGCAGCTGTTTGTCCCTCTGCTGTCTGTTCCAGGGGGCTGAAGCTCTGCTGAACTTTGGGAGAGGGTATCCAGGACTGCTCCATAAGCACTGCAGGGTGGGCACAGAGGGGGATCTGCATCACAGAGAGCCAGGATGGCTGGAGTTGGAAAGGAGCTTAAGGATCATCCAGTGCCACCCCCTGCCATGGGCAGGGACACCTCCCACCAGCCCAGGTTGCTCCAAGCCCCATCCAACCTGGCCTTGGACACTTTCAGGGATCCAGGAACAGCCACAGCTGCTCTGAGAAATCCATTCCAGTCCCTCCCCACCCTCCCAGCCAACAATTCCTTCCCAAAATCCCATCTATCCCTGCCCTCTGGCAGTGGGAAGCCATTTGCTGTGTCCTGTCCCTCCATCCCTTGTCCCCAGTCCCTCTCCAGCTCTCCTGGAGCCCCTTTAATCCCTGCAAGGGGCTCTCAGCTCTCCCTGGAGCCTTCTCTTCTCCAGGGGAACCCCCCCAGCTCTCCCAGCCTGGCTCCAGAGCA